TGGTGGTTGTGTTTTGGTGTGTGGTGGGGTGTGTGGGTGTGTGTGGGTGGGGGGGTCCCCTGCCTCTATGGAAGCTGATGCCAGTAGGGACAGAAGCCCAAAGCACCAGCAGGCACTGGCTCTCTGTGAGGGGTAGGCCTGGGGTACAGCTTCTTCTTCTGTCTTAGTGGAGTCTAGGTGGGCCCTTAAGGGCAGCCTTGTTTCATGTCCAGACCCTCACTCACATGGGATGGACACCTGCCCACATTTCCTGTACCTGGGGGGGGGGGTTGGTGGCATTTAGCAGCCTCGGGGTTCTCTGTTATTCTCAAGGCAAATCTTTACAGTCTGGACCTAGGGAAGAGATCACTGGGTTGTGGTGGCCACAAGGAGGGGAGGATTAAGTGGCCAGCAGTTGGAGAAGGGCAGATCACTGTGGCTCTCTGGCCTGTTTCTTCTTCTGAGACAATAAAGATGATCACGTGAAGGAATGTATGGGAAGCCAGTGATTCATCAAGGATGGCCAGTAGCCTTAGTGCATTAGGTATAGTTAGAGCAAACCACACCTCAGTTTCCTCCTGGGCCAGACAGCAGGACTGAGCATGCTCCATGTTTGAACTAGAAATTGCAATGGTGCTGTGCTGCCACCTGCTGGTCACATGCAGCCCTGCAGCAAAGACTGTAGTCCAAGTCCTTCTGCCCTGGAAAGCTTGGAACTCTCAGGCCAAGCTGGTCCCCACAGGAGCTCAGATTCTCCCTAAAGGAGGAAGTGTGAGCTGCTCTGCCACCTCCAGGAAGCCCAGTTCTTCTGCTTAGCGCTCTTCATCAGTACCTGCCATTTGCTGATCAGAGAATGTTCCAATACTGGTAGAATTCCATAGCAGCCCTGGGCAGGGCCTGTGGTCCGTAAGTGATTGCTAAGTGAGAGGATGGTGTGAACTAAATGTGCCTCGTACCTGCTCCTCTCACAAACACTCCCCTTCATCCCTCCAAGTTCATCTGTCCATATGGGCCTTGTACAGGGGAGGAAAGAGACCAGGGAGTAGAGTAGAAGTGCAGCTAGGGCTCAAACCCATAGCCTGTGGCTTTTCCCAGCTCTTGCTTACTCATGCTCTTCCTTCTCTCCCCAGGTACTATGCAACCCCAGCACCTACCTCAGCCCGGACAGCCTCCTCACAGCCTGCCCAGGGGCCTCGGGGAACCCGGCACTCTGTCCATCTGGGTCTGAATGACCTGGAAGAGCTGCAGGCCGCACTCAGCGAGGCTGCCCGGGCCGCTGAGAATGTGCGCTCCACCACCCGCCAGCTGAGCCGTTCCCTGTCTGCAGACCTGCGCCATGCCCGGAGCCTGCGAGGCTCTTGCCTTTTCTGACTCCCTGGAGACTCTGAGACTCTGAGGCAGGCAGTCTCTGTTGTCCCCCAGTCACCAGTCACCTGGAGCCATTGATGGCTGGAAGATGCCATGCCCCTTCCCCAGGAGTGCCTCCATGTAGTAGCATGTTTAAAACGGAGAGACATTGGTCGGGTCAGTAGCGGATGAACATCCAGGGGACCAGCTCTGTCTAACAGGTGTAGTGACCATGTCTACCTCTGTCCAGGCAGAGCCTCTGAGACTTTGCTTGCCATCCCCTCCTGCCCATATCCACCTTCAGCTAATAATATGGATTTTACTGGACAGAATGTCTTTACACTGGGGAGCTCTTGAGCTTGGATCCTTCTCAGAAGGCCATTAAAGACAAAGAAAGCCTAAGGTTGCTGCAGCATTCCTGTCACCTGCCTGAAACAGCCACGCTGAGGCAGGGAGAACCTGGCTGGAAACAAGAGAAATACTTGGGGACCCATAGAATGACTCAGGATGGAGGCCTCAGGTGACACGTGCCCAGATCTTCTGTGACTACAGAAGTTTTCCCCACGATCCCACAGTGTACAGGCAGCCCATGTAGGGCCAGGAAACACCTGCCAGCCTCAGACCTTCCCGCTATTTCTTTGCATTTTTTTAGCATCCACTAGAGGACCAAGCTACCTGCCAGGCCCTGGCTGAGACTGAGAAACCGGATAACACCCCTTCCCCCATCCCATAGCAGAGTGATCTCAGCATTTCTGAAATGTGTGTTTATCACAGATTGTTTATATATTTGAGGCATTTTTAAAAAATCTATTTTCGTTATAAAAGTAAATGAAGGAAAATGAATAATGTTCCTAAGAAATTCGCAAAGCTACTTGTGTCTGTGGTGTGTTTCAGGAGCCTGTGGTTTTTAAAGATGAGGGTGCAGGCAGGGAAGTTGATGACCAGCTAAGGTCTCCCCAGGGTATCTGCTGCATATGATTCCAGAGTCTACCTGTCCTTCTACTGATCTCTGTCTCTACGATTTCCTTCCTCCTGTCATTATCCTAGAGAGGTCAGCAGAGCAAAGCTCTGGTGATGGGAGACACCCAGCAGGAGACTGGCTTCCAAAGCCCCAAGCCAGATTCTCTTTCCAGAGTGAACAGCACCCTCTGCCTGTGCCCAGCATGGCACTGGGCATGCATGTGGCAGTTTTGCATTGCCCATTCATCCCGAGGTGTAGTGACAGGCAGAGTGGGGGATCCGTAGTGCTGTCTGCATCAGCTGCTTTCCCCAGTTCTTTGACAAATTGGCTGGCAAAAGCAATTGAAGGGTAGAAGGCTCACGGGTGGAGAGGAACACAGCCCATGGTGTCAGGAGGCAGCAGAAGCTGGCCACACTGTATCCAGTGGGGACAGATGAATGACATTAGCAGAGATGAATGTAGGTGCTCAACTGGTTCTCTCCTTTTCCTTAAGTGGGGACCCCCCACCCTGCAAGGAATGCTGCTTCCCACATTCAGGCTGGGTGGTCCTCTCTGGAAATGTCCTCACAGACACACACAGAATACTCTCCTAGGTAATTGCAAATCTATTATCATGTGAAGATTATCTCACACCCTGTGTTTGTCACCAAGTGGACTGTGCTCCCAAACCCCAGTCATAATTGTGAAATAGTTGTCAGCTGGCCTCTAGGTTATCAGTTGCCAACCAGTCTCATCTCACAGTGTCAATTGTCTTCTGGCTCACAAATGGGCACCGTGAGGACTCTTCCTGGGGACATCCAGCCCCTCTGGCCTACGCCTAAGTCTACCATACTGTCTTGCCCTGGCCTTTTATACCATGCCAATGGAAGCATCCACATGGGCCCTGCTGTTTCCCAACTCACCTCTCCTCAATGATTAGGAAGGCACTTCTGAAGTAAAGGCCCAAGTGATTGGCACCCTGACTTACTGGTGCTTAGGTTTTCTGCTTCAGCTTCTTCAAAACCTCTTGGGTTTGGAATGTATCAAAGCATCAGGATTTTTAGCTCTTTGTAGCCTAAATCAGATGTCCCTTCCAGGAAGCCTTCTCAGATTTCCCTGGGTGGGACTTGTTGGACTTAGTTAAGACTCCACTCATGGCAGGCCTATCCATGAATGAATGAATGAATAAATGAAGCAAAGAAATGGTTTTTGACTGTTTTGTCAAAACTTTATTGGTGTGGAGAAAGCACCAAGGTACACAGGGTGGGTGTGGTGGGCATGAGGACAGCCCACGGAATACAGAGAGCTGAGAGCATGCCTTCCTAGGGACACTATTCTGTCTTCTTCTCTGGCTCAGGCTGTTTCTTCTGTTGACTGCACACATCCTAAAGGATAGAAGGAGAGTAGAGTGTTTGAACCAGCTATGGTGATACACATGGGAGGTGCTGAGGCAGAAGGATTGCTGAGAGTTCAAAGGTATCCTGGGCTGCAGGGTGAGATGTAAAAAGAAAAAAATATGGCAATATAGGTAAGCCTGATGGACAACTTGAATTCAATCCCTAAAGCCCATGTGAGGGTGGCTGAAAAGGACATGCTCCACAGAGTAGAGTTGTCCTCTGACATTCTTCAAACACGTGATGGCATGCTTGCATATGAGTGTACGCACACGCGCGCACATACACACACACACACACACACACACAATAAATTTTTTTTTTGGTGTTTCAGCCAGCGTTTCTCTGTGTAGCCTTGGCTGTCCTGGAACTCACTCTTTAGACCAGGCTGACCTGGAACTCACAGAGATCCACCTGCCTCTGCCTCCCGAGTTCTGGGATTAAAGACATGTACCACCACCACCTGGGTATAAAAACATTTTTAAAGGCGGAAAAATCACAATGGTTGACCAGAAAAGGCAGGGTTTTGTCAACCAGCTGTAACCAAGATCTTCCACGGCTTCCCTGGAGTGGCTAGGCTAAGTCCTTCCCCTTTCTGAGCCTCAGATTAGTCACTCCATTGAACAGGAGAATGGAGTCCCCCAAAAGGCAGGCATGTTCTGAACATTCCTGACCATAGGTAAGGGTTGAGTTCCCTGCTGTGAGATGAAGCAACTGAGCCCCAGGTGGCTGGGTGCCCTTTCTTTGGTCCCCTGGTTGTAAGGTGGAGAAGGCAGGCTGTGAAACACCTCAATTCCAGGGGCTGTTTGCAGGAACCTTCCCAGTGGGAACCCAAGGCTGCTGGTGACAGGAAGGGCTCAGGTGGAGTCACAAAAGCATTCAGGTTTCTGCTTCTGGCAGACACATCTGAGTATATCAGTTGCTGACTACGAACCCTGGACTTGCTATGGATGTGAACCAGTCCAGCTGATGTGGACACCCCCTGTCTCTGCAACAGAGTCTGCCAACAGCTCCTGCTGGATTCTCCATTGCCTAAATTCCCTCTTTTGCTTTTGACTAGCATTTCAGCCTTCTTAGGTCCCTAACTTCGTCCCAAAGTCAGCAGGAAGTAGCATGGGAAAGAATACGTCACCCATTTTCCCTGGTTGAAATGCTAAGTCAGAAGGAACTCCCTTAAATGGGGGACACCAATATCTCTCACTCCCTGATAGGGATGCTAGAGAGAGAGCAATTCCATGATTGGAATTTAAAAAAGAAAAAATGGGGAATGAAGGGACCAGCTCCCTCCCCATTTCATCAGCCATAACAGCCTAACATGCACTTGCCTGACCTTGTCTTGGTCACTAGGGTCAGATGCCTGCCCCTTTCGGCAGCCATAACAGCCGAACACGTGCTTGCCATGACCTTGCCTTGGTCACTAAGAGGTCAGATGCCTGCCTCGTGGCAAGGAACCAATCAGAAGTTAGCTGGTGGTGCTATGCTTTACAGCTCTGGATGTGCTTTATGGACAAGTGCACAGCAATGAAGCGTAGAGCATAGCAACCACCCTGGGAGGGCCTATGGGCCATAACAACCAGTTGACCAATCAACACAGGACAAACCATCCAAGCCTGGAGCCACACCAGTCCTGAGCCTGTGCGTACCCCTAGACACTCCCCTTACGCTGCCCTACAAGATCAGTACGCAGCAGGTTCGAGGTGTCTTTTGCCAGCCATCCGCCATGGCTGGTGGGTGAAAGACCTGAGCTAACATGGGGTTAGTGACCTCAACTAGGACAAACCCAAAGCTGAGGAAACCTTTCTCAGCACAGGTTTAGAGAGAGCATCAAGAAGACTCTATGGGTCATCCCTGCTAAGAACCTGTCATACTGGAGTTGGCGTGGTACAAAAGACTTCAACCACAACTTGCAGTGAAAATGGAGGCCAGGGAAAAGCCTGGCCCCTCACACCAGCTGTCCCCTCAGTTGCCCTTTCTGGTCTTGTCTGTTATCCTTCCCAGTCTTTCCAGGATCTTCTACTTAACCCCACCTGCCCCCAACCTCACTGCCTATCTATGGCCTCTATGTATCTCAGCTATCTGTCTATGGACTCTATATATTTCAGCTGTCTATGGCCTCTATGTATCTCAAATGTCTGTCTATGGCCTCTGTGTATCTCAGCTGTCTGTCTATGGCCTCTATATATCTCAGCTATCTGTCTACGGCCTCTAGTATCTCAGCTGCCACAGCAGGCGGCAGGGCTCTTAACAGCAAGACACCTGCCTTGTTTGGCTGCTTGAACCAGCAGCTTGCCCTCTCTGGGCCTCTAGGGTCACTCAAAGTGGGGCCACGCCAGGATGGCAATATCCAGTCTCTTCATTTACCTTTTTCCAGTCAGTATATACGATTTCTGACTCATTCATGCCCAGACCTTTGACAGATTCCTGGAATACTGTAAAAAACTCTGGAGCAAAATCTGGCTTGTTAGCTGCAAGACAGAATGAGGGGGCATGAGGAAGGGTTCAGCAAATGGGAGGCCAGTCAGGGATGTGGGTGGGGGACCAAGGGCAAGGCCCTTGGAGCTAGACATCAGAGCTGTGAGGAGCCTACCGTAGAAGGACAGTCCCCAGTTCTTTTCATCTTCTGGGAAAAAGGTAAGAAAGAAGCCCTTATGTTTCATGAACACTTTCAGGTGGGCAACGTGTTCCACTAGTCCCTCTGCAGGAGGAAGGGCTGTGTGAGTCACTGGAATGGTGCCATGGTCCCTATTCCCAAGTTGAAGAAGCAATGGACAAATAGCTATGGACAAATGCCTGTTGCTCCCTAGAGCTGCCATGTTCTCAACCTCTGCTGTGTGCCAGCCCTCTGTTTTCTATGTAGATGAGGAATGGCCAGGGCCTTAGGAAGATGGTGGCTATCTGTCCCCATTTCACAGATGAGGCTGTACAAGGACTAATAGCCTTGGGTGGCTAAGCAGTGTCTGATCATGTCCACCAGCATTTGTGTGGCCTTGCTGTGTTGTCCCTGGTGAATTGGGGGCATGGGTGAAGTTGTGGCTCCACACCCCATGGGTTCCCACTCCAAACTCACAGAGGATTGGAAAGTATGGTTGAAAGAGAGGCTGGTCTGGAGCCAGATTCTGGTTGAATCCTGCTTTTAATTACAGAGAAAGACTTAACTGCCCTGTGCTGTTTCCTCTTCTGATCCTTGAAATACCCTCCCAGAAACCACACAGTTCACATAAAGCATATCAAGCAGGGCACAACACTCAGTGGCAAGAGGTCTAAGCTTTTGTTGATCACCTAGTGCTCTCTGTGACCACAGGATCTAGGGCCTTGGCCTTCCCTTTCCTCTAAGCTGGCCTAACCCTCTCCACAGACAGACCCTTCCACATGAGTGCTAGCCCTTACCATACTTGGAGATGGTCCCATTCTCTCTCTGGACTCCCAGCTTGCTGGAGTTATAGACACATCGGTCCTCCCTACAGGCAAACAGAAAGCAGACAGCAAAGTGAGAGGTGATCAGGAGATGTGACCAGCAAGAGGCAGGTAGAGAAGACAGTTAGCTGGCCTTTTTCTGGAAGGTGGGTGGGAAGGCCAAGCAGAGACAGAGTTTGCTCAGGTCTCCAGGCATCCAGGAACAGAGGTCAGGGCTTTGCTGGGGTGGTTGCTGCAAGGACTCACTTGGTCTGGTACTCTTGGAGCAGTATAGTGTCGTCTGTCAAGTTGGGAGTAAAGTAAAAATATCCTGCCTGAACCTTTTGAATTTCCTGCTTGTACTCGAGGTTGCGGAAAGCTGAGCCGAGGTAAAACCATTTTCCAGAGAGCTGGGGAAGACAGAGGCAGACAGGTGAGCAGGCCTTGGCAGTCAGCAGTGATGAGTAACAGGTGAGATGGTTTCGGGGTCACACTTGGGGATACTGAAGCCCCACGTGGGGACCACATAGGCAACTCAAAAATCAGTCATCCACTGCTCTGTCCCCTTCTGAGAGACCTCCGAGGGATGCTTCAGAGTCTGGAGACAGGAGGATACCACCAGAATACCAGGCTAGGTAGAATTTCCCACAGGAGAGGCAAGGTCAGCAGCAGGTCCGGAGATGAAGCAGACAGGGGAGGAAAGGTCCCAAGGAAAGGTAGCCATCTATAGTGCTCAGAGCCAGGCCCTGAGCTGGCACTCACCCAGCTCAAGGTGTCATTGGTAATAGGTTTGCCTATGATGTTGGCATGTTCTGGGTTCTGGGCCTCCAGCAGTGGCAGGAGGCTCAAAATGACAAGAACCACTTGCAGCGCCATGCTGACATACTCAGAGGCACCAGAGCCAGGAAGAGCTAACTGGTGGCTGGAGGGTACAGTGACCTTTATAACAAGATGTGGGAGGGGCATGGGAGTCCAGCCAGGGGCTGCAGAGCCTTGGTACAATCCCACCAGCACTGAGAAATGTCTTGCGCAAAATACAAGGCCAGCTTTTAAATGCAGTTCTTACAACCAGCCGGACACAGGCTCCTGCCATACAGATTCCTGAAAGCCAGAGTGTTGATTCACAGCCAATGTGGGTACAAGGCTAGTCCGGATACTTAACAGGTTACCAGCTATAGATTTTAATATAGATCCTCAGCTAGAAATCTCATTCAGTTCTTGTCCCATGGAGTTGCCTAGCACAAGTGAGACACTACCCACCCCCACAGCAATCACAAATTAAACCCCAAAGGTGCTATGAAGAGGCTCCAGGTCAGGGTCAGGAGTGAACTTGGAAGACACTTAGGGGGTCAGGTTGGGGGCCAAAGATAATGAGGGTTAGCTTCCAAATGAATGTGATGCTTCATACAATCACACTGTGGTGTGATGGCCAAGTGTCCAACGAAGTGTTGGGGAGGGGATCTGAGTGGAATATCTAATCCAGCAAATGTCCCACTATCTAAACCAGGCAAGGATCTGCCTATGGCAGTGCTTGCCCAACTCAGGAGTTGTGCCCAGCATCCAGCAAGTACCCAGTTCTAGTTCCTGGCTAATGTAGCCTGATCTTTGTTCATTCATGAATGAACACTCTCAAAAAATATTGTTACAGCCAGGCATGGTGACTTCCACTGAGGCAGGGAGGTTTTGCTGGGAACTTGAGACCAGCCTGGGGCTACACAGTGAGCTGTTTCAAAACTTCAACAACAACAAAAGTGTTATAGCATGCTCACACTTTTGTGTTCCTTCTATTTCCTGTGTCCTCCACACGTTTTCATATTTTATTATAGTCTGAACTATAGTCTTAATGATACATAACTTGTCGTTCTCTTACCATATTCTAACTTCACGAGACCCCCCCCTTTTTTTTTAAATTTGTCGCATTTTGCATTGTATTTCCTCCCTCATGTTCAGCATACAGAGCAACATATTACCTTTTAAAATTACCCTACCATCCAACAGAAAAAAGCATGGTCAACTCCAGCATCATGCTTGTCAATGACTTCAGTGGGATTATTTAAAGTAGCCCTGAGGTTGAGTATTTTAAATGCACATTAACAGGAAAATGGGAAATGAATTGTCACATCTCATGCAAAAAGAGTGTTGTTTAGCAACAGAGAGAAATGAACTACTGAAAGATTTGACAGTACAGATGAAGTTCAACAATACTGTGGCCAGTAGTAGGACTCAGATTTCCCAGCAGTGTGATTGTATGAATCTCTTTATAGGAGTTCTAGAATAGCCCAATATAATTTATAATGATAGAAATGAAGTCAGGGGTTGTCTAGGGCAAAAGAAAGGGGCCATAGAAGGCAGGAAAAAAAGATATACCTGGATTTGTTAATCACAGATTAGAGTCCACTTCTAAAAGGCATTGCAATAAAAAAAAATGCCTATTCACACACTAAGGATAAATACTGGTTCCACGGACAGTGACCCCACAGACTGCCCAGGTCCCCCAATTGACACCCATGTTCAGGGGGCATGGTTGAGTTTGGTTCCCCAGCTGTCAGTCTGGAGTCAGTGAGCTCCCACTTGCTCAGGTCAGCTGTTTCTGTGGGTTTCCCCAACATGATCTTGACCCCTTTGTTCATCACTCCTCCCTCTCTACAACTGGATTCCAGGACTTCGGCTCATGCTCAGCTGTGAATCTCTGCTAACTCTCTCAGCCTAGATACAGGGGGGAGGGCCTAGCTCCTACCCCAAATGATGTGACAGACTTCAATGATTTCCCCCATGGGAGGCCTCACCATCCCTGAGGACTGGATATGGGGTGGGATGGGGAGTTGATGGGGGGAGTGGGAGGATGGGAGGGGGCAGGAACTGGGATTGGTATGTAAAATAAGATTGTTTTGAATTTGAATAAAAATAAATTAAGAACAACAACAACAAACATGCCTATGGTGGCTCAAGAAAACAGGATAGCCCCCATTGTATGGATGAAGTAACAAGCAGCACAGAGAGGTCAAGGGACCTGGAGAAAAGACGCACAGCAGCACAGCACAAACAAGTTTATACCTCAGCTGTGAGGACCCCTCTCCACCTCCTTCTATAGCAGCAGCCATGAGGAGGACTGCTGATTCTAATTAGGTAGGACCTGTAGACCAGGGCTGAGAAAATACAGCAAAGCCTGCTGGGACAACTCCAGATCCTGTGTGGAGATCTTGGCAACTTACCTATGACTGGCCTCTTTGAACTTCAATTCCTTTGACTGAAAGCTCATCATGGTATGCACATGTTTCACAAGCCAAGCACATGAGATGAAAGCAGAGCACACTTTGTACTGGTACAAGGGGTGTGGCCAGTGTACAGGAGCTACCATCCTTGTGAGCATGAATGGTGCTTTTCTTGGCTTGACCCATATGTAGCTGGCCTTTGTGGATCAAAGAGCAGGTGCTGGGGTGATAGCTCAGTAGGTAAAGTACTTGCCCTACAAGCATGGGGACTTGAGTTTGATCCCAGGAACCCATACAATAAAACCTGATCACAGTGTCACAAGCCTGTATCCCTGCAGTAGGAGGATAGAGATGGGCAGTTTCCTGGTGCTCAATGGCCAGCTGGGCTAGCAGACTTGATGAGCTCAAGGCCAAATGGGAGACCCTGTCTTAAGAAATAGGGTTAACTGCTCTGAGAATAATTATCTGAGGTTTGCCTCTGGTGTACACACAAACACACACACACACACACACACACACACACACACACACACACACACACACACACACACACCTACACTCAACAGCAATTGGCTATGATTTTTCTCTACTACTACGGACTGATAGTCTTGTCTATGCTGGCAGGCAGGAAGATCATACTTCTCATGACAAAATAAGGTCCCCCCTCAAGGCCCTGCCTCAGGCAAGACTCCTGCAGTGTCTGTCTTTCCTCCTCTTTCCCTCATAGATTACTGGAGATCATGGGGTCAGCTGGTCTCAGTTGACCTTGCAGCACTGTGGACAGGACAAACACAGCAAACTGAGCTTTTCCTTGGAAGCCCAGCCTGCGGGGGACTTCATTCCAATGGCCTCTTGACACCTAGGTTGTGCAATGGGAGATTGAGAAATGTGGGGAACACACACTTAAAGGAAGCTGCCACCTGCTACTTCTGGGAAGAAACTGGCTTAGCTCCAGGGTGTTCACTGGCCAGGTCACAGGGACCCATAAATCAATGAAGACAAAGTGGTAAACACACTCCATCTTCCCCTCAGCCCTGCCTGCTGACTCTCATGTCTCCTGTGCCATGTCTACAAAGCCAGAGAGGCTGCAGACATTGTCAGCATTCTGATCCCCAGGCCTTCCTGTCCTGTTGTCCTAGCTCTGCCATCTGCCACCTGCATAGCTTGGCTCCAGGGCCCTATTGGATCTTGGACCTAATGGGTCTGGTCTCTGTTCTTCTAAGCAAAGCAGTGAGTTCTGTTTTGTGGTGCCTAAGTCCCCTACCACTACCCTGCCACCAGAAGGGAGTCACTGGCTCTTCCTACTATGTGGATGAGCGAGGCTTGTTTCCCTGGCTGCAGCTGTGGACCCAGAGCAATGCTGATGCCTGGGCACTGAGATCTTAGTAGTGGGTGTCCATGCTGCCCAGCACACAGGAGGTTCTTAAACTGAGGAACCAGTGACTTCAGGCTTCGGCCAGCACCTTTTCCTTTTAAGAATTCCCTCAGATAGAGTGTTATGATAGCCAGAAGGGGACACAGCCAGTGTCAATCAAGTGAAGAACAGATAACTTGCAATCTGTCCATATTGTATGCATTCAGCCTCCACAACAGCCATCTTGAATTGTATGCACCACAACTGCTTTTGTGTAACCCTCCTCTATTTCCCTTGCTCTGTTTCTTATCAAACTATAAATAGGTAAAACATTAACATGGTATGTGGAGCTTTTGTGTATGTGGGTGACTGTCATGTTCATGTATGTATGCATGTGTGCATGCATGAGTGTACACATGCATGAGTATACATGCATGTGTGTATGCATGTAGAGGCCAGTAATCAACCCCAGGTGTCATTCCTCAGGAACTGTCCAGCTTATATCTTTGAGGCAGGGTCTCGAACAGAACCTGGAGCTCATTGATTTGGCTAGGATGGCTGACCAGCAGGCTCCAGGGATCCTCCTGTCTTCACTGTCCTTTCGCTAGCATTACAAGTGTGTACCACAACATCTGACTTTTTATCTGGGTTTGGGGATTGAACTCTGGTCCTCACACTTGCACAGCAAACACTTTACCAACAGAGTCATCTTCCCAGCCCCAGTACATGGAGTTTTAAAACTCCATGCCAGGAAAGTACCTTTCCTTCCTTCTGACCCAAACTACAGTGATGCACTTGGTGTTGCTGTATCTAGGATCACCTTTCTGCAGCAGATCCCCCAATAAATTGTGCCCTGTACAGTCCTAATCAGCCCACTCCTTTCTTTTTTTTTCTTTTTCTTTTTTTTTTTTTTTTTGGTTTTTTGGGACAATTTTTCTCTGTTGAGCTTTGGAGCCTATCCTGGCACTCACTCTGGAGACCAGGCTGGCCTCGAACTCACAGAGATCTACCTGCCTCTGCCTCCCGAGTGCATAATGCATACAATATGGCGTGCACCACCAATGCCCAGGCAGCCCACTACTTTCTTTGTTTTCATGGCACCTATGGTCAAACATTCTGGGGTAGGTTTACCCAGAACAATAAGACATAACAAACAGTCTTGCCATCAGAATGAATGAAGAAACAATGTAGGATTCAACACACAAATGCAAAGCCCTAGGTCCCATCCCTGCGTATTGAGTGCAGCTCGGAGCCTGGAAGGGCACAGGACAGCTCCAGGCTTGGGGGCTTGGATAGAAAAAGGCTCTTCCTACACTTTGACATGGCACTCTTCCTCCAGAACCTTGGCAGACAGCACTCATTTAGTCCAGCTTTAAGTCACAGGGTTGGCCCCTGCCTGAGCAGGACACTGGTCACTGCTTTAGCAGGGCACCTCTGGCATCCTTCTACCTCACTGAAGAACCTGTCCTTGTGTGAAGAAACATCAGACCACAGTCTCACCGTTCCATTGCTCAGTTTTAAATATTTATTTAAAGTCCAGAAGGGAACTTGAGAAAACAGAACCCACTAGGGGTTTGAACACACTGACATTTAGACAGAAACAAAAGGACGACAGGCAATACACATCACGTGACTAGAGGGAGACACAGAAGGGAAGCAAGAAACAGCGCTCAGGTGAGGACCAAACAACAAAAATGCACGTCTAGCCTGAGGTGGGGCGGGAGTGGGGACACAGGCGGTGTCTGGGAGAGGATGGGTGGGAGTGAGGTATTAAATAACGAAAAGCAAATCCAATTCCCCACAAGACGCAACTTTAGAAACACACAAATAGAGACTTTCACATCAGTATTCCTTCTATAAAAATAATTCCATAGTTAAAATAACTTCAAAATCCAATTGGGGTCCCGACTTATTTAGGTTGCATGGAAGGTCACTGTTGTGGAGACCAATGAGGTACCCATAATTGGTCCTTCCTTCTCCACCCAAATTGGCACTTAGGGGAAAGGACAGTGGGTTTCTACATAGCTGTGCAATGCTGAGAAAGCAAGAAGGTCGGCTGCACTTGGAAGGGTGGGCTCCTGGGAGAGAAGACCTTGGGTCTTTAGATGATGCTATGTTTGCAGTCCACCTTCATGATCAGCCCTAGAAGAAGATCTCAAATCCAAGGCATCTTCTTCCAGGTCAGGTCTTCCAGGAGTAAGGAGGCCACACCAGAGTGCCTCCTCAAGGGACAGAAGCAGAAATCTCCATGCTTCTGGTTTCTGGAAGGATTTTATTGTTGTTGTGTTTTTGTTTTTTTATTTTTTTATTTTTTTCCTTTTTTCTTTTTCCTTTTTGTCCTCCTCGGAAGATTACAGGGGTAATGCTAGTCACATTGTTAAATCCCCATTTGGAGGAGAGAAAGACTGTGGACAAGGTCCCACTCAAAAAGTTTCTTCAAAGCCTGTGGCAACAAAAATAGTAGCACCTTCAGAATCTTAAATAAGTTTTTTTTTCTTCTTAAAAAAATCACATACATTACAAGAGACAATTGTGAGCACCAGCGATTTCACAGTGGGAGGTAGCATACAGCACCCCAGCCTGGGGGTCAGCCTCTCCACACCCCAGCTCCCCGTGTTCTTCATCACCTCTCCCAGGTGAAAAAATAGTAACACACCTTCTCTTTGTTTAAATAATATATATATATAGATAGATTTCTTTCTTTCCTTTTCTCCTCTTTTTTTTTTTTTTCATGTCTCCTTCGAATATTGCACATCAAAAACTCCCCAGCAGGGACCAGCTGACAACATGCCCCTTTCCCTTGAGGTGGCATCAATGCGGGAGGGGTTCTTTGGGCAGGGAGTTGGGGGAGGAGGGGGTGTCTACAGAGCTAGGCAACAGACTGTGGACTGGAGTGGGCTGCAAACCCTGCTTGCTCTAACTGGCTCTTTGGTTGGTTCTTGGGGCTAAGCTGGGATGGATGGTTCTCCAGAGCAGCCTCAGGATAGCCTGCTACCCTCCCTCAACTCCTGCTGAGCAGACAACAGCTGGGACTTTCACCAGGGTCCTAAGGCAGGGGCTCAATCCAGGGTCCCATATCTGGGACTAGCTGGTCCCAGCCTCTTCCCTTCCCCACAAGGCTTGGAGGAGCCTAGAGGTCAGAGGTCAGAGGAAGCATGCAGGTCCAACTTCCAGGCGGTACTGCTTCCCTGATGAGACTGGTGGGAGGTTGTCCACGCTGACAATGGGCAGCTGCTGTGGGTCCTGGGTTCGGAAGGTGAACAGTGTCTGGTGCCAGCGGCCATCGTGGACCTGTCAATGGGCAGGAAGATGACAGTGAATGTGATCCTTGCCACTTACAAATGCATGCCTCATCATCTCTTGTTTTTGCGGAAACAATGACCTGTATGTGGCATATCTGGGCACATATCTGGCTTGGTTGCTTCCACTTTTTAGAAAGTTATTTTTTTGAATAATGAATTTTTAAAATTTTTAAATATAGCAGAACAGGCTGGGCGGTGGTGGCGCACGCCTTTAATCCCAGCACTTGGGAGGCAGAGAGGCAGGCAGATCTCTGAGTTTGAGACCAGCCTGGTCTACAAGAGCTAGTTCCAGGACAGCCTCCAAAGCCACAGAGAAACCCGTCTCGAAAGAGAGAGAGAGAGTAGAGCAGCAAACACTCTTATCTGCCCAGACATCTCCTCAACAACATCTATCTATCTATCTATCTATCTATCTATCTATCTATCTATCTATCTATCTCTCACACTCACTCACACTCCTGAATATATCCCAGTTTGGCCTTGAACTGCTATTCCTCCTGCCTCTACCTCATCCTCTCTCCCCCAATCAAGTACTGGGATCATAACTGTGAATCATCCCATTGACCTCAATTTTTAATGTTTTCTCTCTTATTCTTGTTAAGTAATATTATACGAAAAGTCACTGTGTTTTGACTTTCAGGCACATTCCTAGTAATTTCCCATGAACAAATTCAACAATAGAATCTCCAGATCCAAGGACAGCTGGTTTTCTTGCATACATACTGGCTCTCTATTTACACAGAGCTGTTCTCCATCTTTTTTCTCAGTAGCTTCATGTGGAAAGCCACATCCTTAATGACACTGTGGATTACTAGTTTACTTTATGAAAGTAGTTTTACATTTGGGTGATTTCCTGTCTTCTTCAAACCTTGAAGCGTATTCTGTTTAAGACATTTGACAGTGGCCAAAACTATTGAAAGAAAGAAAGCAACCTGATCAGTGGAATAAAGAGAATTGATACTCTTTCGAAGAGGCCTTTTCAAAATAACAGATGTTCCTATTAGCCTGAAGAACTTTTACCTGCATAGACTTTCCCTTAGAAGGTTGCCAGAGAGGTTAGCCTGGGGAGTACAATGCCCTGGGTTCACCCCCAGCAACACTCATGCATGCACACACGTGCACACACACACACACACACACACACACACACACACACACACACACAAACTTGTACACAACACACAGAGTCTTTACAGCTGGGGTCAATTTTACTAAATAAATCCTAAACAAACAATTCTAATAAGATTACAAGATGATAAAGAATTGTATACAATGTAATATAAAATGGTAAGACATACTCATAAAACCAAGCAAGTTTCTCCTGGCGTCCCCACATCAAGGGGCAATGAGGGGTTCCAACAGTTACCTTGCAGCCATCCACAGACACCTCTGGCCTGAACTGACCCCCAGCTTCGAAGACCTGTCCATTCCAGGCACGGAAGCGCACGGCTTGCCTGGCAGAGGGGCGCCCTGGGCCCTCCTGCCACACCGTCAGGTTCAGGCAATGGATTGTGATGTGCTGTGTCCCCTCAGAACTGAGCAGGTGCAAGAAATTCATCTGGACCCGGCTAACAGCAAACTCCACCTGTGGGGTAGAGGCAGGTGGGTAGCAGAACCCCGCAGCCCTCAAACTCCTCCTCTTTCTGGAGGGCACCAGGGTTAGCCCTTTACTGGCCAGTTTTTCCTGTGTCATCTGGCCCCTCAAAAGACAGGAAAAGCGAGTTCTCTGTGAGCTGGTCCTGTAGCCTAGTGGCTGCTCGAGCCCAGAACCAGAGTCCGAGGCTCTTGCTGTGGTCTGTTTTCTCAGCTCTCCCAGGTGGGTGGGCTAAGGGTTCAGCCAGGTCCAGAAGCTGGCAAGGATTTTGCTCAAGCTGAGTGTGGAGGAAATGTAAGGGGCCTTAAAGAATTTAACCTATAAAGGACTCAGGTGTTATCAGAACTGTGGTGTAGGGCTACGGGGAGGCGGGGCTAGTGGAAGGTAGTCCATTGAGGGTATCCAAGAGGATATCTGGATCCAGCCCTTTCCTCTATGCTTCCTGACTTCCAGGGAGTAAGTAGCTCTCCTCTACTATAGTCCATACCACAGCCCCCAAGGCAAAAGAGCCAACCAATCAGTAGGAGATAAAGAAAACTCTTTTTGCCTTCCAGTTGGTGTCTCCACAATTTTGTCACACACAGTAACACAAAGCTAATTAGTCTGTCATTGTTCCTGATGGAGAGGGCAATGCCACTGGGCAGCTCTGTGGCCAATCCAGACTTACAGGCTTGCCATGTGGTCCCCAACCCTCCAAGTCACCAAGAAGGGAGCTCACAGGAATTACAGTGGCCCTGCTAGACTGTGAGCTCCAGCTGCAGGGATAGCAGCAAGTCTGAGCTCTCCACATGGTGGCTCGGGGTCTGGCTAGGTCAGGAAGCCAGCAGACTTGTTGAGCAGCTGGCTGTGTGGAACCAACACCATCTCAGCCATGGGGAGGTGCCTCAGGGAGTCTATGGATACAAAAGTCTGGGGCTGCCTACTCCTCTGCAGCCAGAGCAGTTTCTCCATGTGGCACACTCCTACCCCCACCCCTACCCTGCATGGACAGCCTTGTAGAAACAGACACACAAGTCATGGAAGGGCATCCTGGACAGGAATGGCCACACCCCCCAGCTGCTGCCTGCCTGTTTCATTGGTGAGTCGCCTGCTCCCACCCCAAAATGCTTAGCCCAGGGACAGATGTGGTGTGCAGGCACTGAACAGAAGTTAAATAAGAGCACATGCAAGAGTGACACATGTCCCCGAGAAACCATACTCTCAATTAGTGCCAACAATTCATGATTCTCCCCGACTACAAACTAGTCCAAGAGAAGATGGGGTCTTCAGCACTGAGGCCCCACAGAGTCTGAGAACACAGGAGTGTGAAAGGGTTTGTTAGTCCTACATGTCCCCAGCTTCTAAGTGAGGAAACTAAGTCTCAAGGGGGGATGCTTTCCCACAGCCTTCCAGGAAGACAAGCAGGGCTCAGGGCAGGGAGGGACTGGCAGGGTGGGCAGAGCCTGGAGGCAATGGGGAACAGATGGTACCTTGGAGGCTGTGATGGGCTTCAGACACGTCTGCCCACCGTGTGTAAAGTTACAGGAGACTTCAATGGTGTCAGAGGAGCAGCCGAGGTTGGGGTCCACCCAGTAGGTACCTTCAACAGAGCAGGACAGGGAACATATGAACCAGGAAAGAGCCTGCAGGGGGTTCTGGAGGACTGTACCCGTGACTCATGGGGTTGAAGTGGGGTGGGAAGTTAAGGGGCAGGGCAGGCAGACACAAGATATCTCAAGGCACAGACAGGGAAGGATGCCTTCCGGGTAGAGTTGGCAGTCAGGGAGTCCCATGCTCTGGCAACACACCCCATGTTCCTGCTGGGATGTGTCTACTCTATAGAGTAGGCTCTTAGCTCCTCTAGGTTCTTCAGGGCTCAGGCTTCCTCCCAGACATGCCCAGGGAGCTGGGGCTCTGACCTCCATCTGGCTTCCCTTCATCTTGCACTTCTGCCTGCATCTGGCTTCCCTGCTAGGCTTCCTGGCTGCCAAGAGCTCCACAGCAGAGGAAGGGGTGCCCCAACATCTGCCTCTAGCTCTGCAAAGCATGGAGGACCAGGTGGCACCACGGCATGCCCCAGCTCACAGATGAACAGTCAGGTGAGCTTAGATGGTGAGGTTGCCTGCTCAAGCAGGAAGTCCTTGGGGTTATGCTAGCCCTCAGAGGATATTTGTTTTCTTCAAAGTCATCCTTGTGCTCAGAATGGTTCCAGCTTGTGGCATTATGGGCTAACTAGGCCCATTTTCTCTACAATACCCTCAAAGCCTGAACCATAGGCCTGGCTATGTGAAGCCCAGAGGGTGTTCGCTGAGTGAATAAATGATGCTGTGTTTCTATCGAGGATGGAAACTTGGCTGAGATATGCCAAGGACCTAACACTCCATGGACCTGAGCTCCTCCTGAACTTGTGCTACCCGACACAGGCAAGAAGCCCCTTCTCAGTCCCCCAGACACTCTTACCATCCACCATCCTCTGCTCACAGTCCATGAGATCCCGGCAGACCCGGGCTGGATTTTCCTTGGTTCCCAAGGGCGTCTTAATGCTCTGGATGAGGTTGCTGAGGTAGTGTAAGGTTTTGAAGATCTCTCCTCCCTGGTCCAGCACCAGCTGGTCCGGATAGCTGTACCCCTGCTATGGAGAAGTAGGGCTATTGTCCATTATGTCCTGACCTTGCCCAAGGTCCCAGACACATTGCTTCATAGTTCTCACTGTCTGGCGGACCCAGTGACCTCCCAGTCCTTGGCTAGCTTAGACTGGCTACACAGATAAGGAGAGGGAGGGTCAGGGACATAATGTAGCAGGGATAAGAGCTGCTTCCTTGCCCTTGGCCTATGAGCCCCAGTGGTGTTGGTAGGTGGTCTGAGCTAGAGGAATGAGCTCCCCACCATGAGAAGGAAGCAAGGCTGTAAATTGGGCTCTGACACTGGCTGGAACACCTGAGACCCGTCTCAGCCTGGAACCATGGAGCAAGGCTGACCACAGACTGGGTCTCAGCAGCGCCCTGGGTCTCAGCTTCTGTGTGATCCCTGGGTGTCCCTGGGAACTGAGAACCTGCTGCAGGCTATGGTCCAGGAAAGTATCCCTCTCTCTCTCTGGCCAGACACACATTAGACTTGAGAAACTTCTAAGAAACACAAGGGCACAGTGTCTGTATCTGGCCTGGTTCTGGCAGCCTGGGCTGTGGCACCACTTTGGACTGTGGTCTCCACCTGAGCCCTAGTGGTGATCTCCATCAGGGACTGGGCAGCATCACTACAACAAGGGCTCTGACACTCTTGGCGTCAGCCATGGGGACAGTATTGACCTCTATGACCCCTCTCTTTCTCCCAGGACCGGAGGTCATGTGAGCAGAGGTCTGGGCAGTACCTCTGGTCTGACTGCTCTGTGAGCATCCATCCATGTCTGGAAAGCTGCCCCAAGGTCATCTTGCTGCTGTGCAAGGAAAATAAAAAGTATGTGTCCTGTCCCCTTCCCAGGGGAAGCCAGATTCTGAAAGTAGGAGCTAGGGGCGCAAGCACCTACTCTAACTCTCCACCCCACCACTACCCCACCCCTACCTCACTCCCACCGCACCCCTACCCCACCCCCACTGCACAGATCTTGACCAATTCACATGTCCTCTGCTGAGCCCTTCCTTCCTTTGCAGAGAGTCAATGCTGAACATACCATTCCCTTCAATAGCTCCCCAGGACCCTCTCATTATTAAGTTCAAACTCTTCATCAGGGTTAAAAACCCCATGTGGGTGCTGTGGTCTTCATCCTTGTCTCTCTCCACACATGCTCTAGAACCAGGCACACACAGTCCTTCTTGTCTCTAAAACCATTGCTCTGCCTAGCCACAGGACCTTTGCACATCTTCCCATTGCCTGGGGAAGTCTTCCCTGTCTCCAACACAGTGTCCGTTTTTCTCAACTGGAGGTGCTAATGCTCCCCAGAAGACACTGAGTCTCACCAGATGGTGTGTTTTTAATTGCTATGACTAGGGAAGGGATACTTCTGCATCGCAAGGTTGGAAGCAAAAAGTGTGCTAACCAAGCTCAGACATGTTACCCAGGAAGCCGGGCAATTGTCAGCCATGCTCAGCTGTTTCTGTGATGCTTCTGCCTCCAAGCTGCTGAGATCCATTAGACCCCATGGTTCTAATTATATAGCTCTTGAGTACGCCTGGCCTCAGCCTTGGTACCCGGTTGCGTTGAGCACAGTTGTAGGCTTACCAAGAACATGGCAAGGGGTCTGGGGAATTCCCAGGCCTGCACTTTCCCTCTAAGGGGCTAGCCTTGGTTCTCTGGTTTGGAAAATGAACCCCCAGATAAAATATTCTCCAGGAACTACTAAAACCATTTCTAATAGTGTCTGGCATATGATGAGTGGCATTTTTCAGCTAAGAGTTGTATAGAGCTCTCTGTCCTTCTCTATATCTAGGAAGGAAAGAGGCTTTGTCTATCTTCCTGATGAAGAGATGGTGAAGACTGGCAAGTGGTTTGTATGTATGGACAGCACAAAGGGAGGGACATGTAGAAGCTGGGATTGGAATAACAGGGACTTTGAGCATCTGGTAGCCCTAGGACTCCTTTTCAAGCCACACCCTGGGGATGCTGGCAGGGTCTGATCCAGTCCTCATTGGTGTGGGGACAACATGGGACTAATTGGACTCAATGCTGGGAGAGCTGAGCTGGGACGGGGCTCCTGTGCCACCAGAGAAAAAAGGGTCCAAATGCACCCACTTGCCTGACCCTCTGGAATCCCAGTCTAAGGAGGAGAGAGCCTAGCATCAACCCACATGTGATGAGACCCTGGCGGTAGCTTTAGAACAGCCCTCTTGCTCACAGTTGGGGACATGGATGGGCTTCTTGCCCAGGGCTCCGGTGCAAAGGACAGGACAAGGACATGCTAGGGCTCCAGCCACTGTGGCCAGAGAAGGCTCAGCTTTTTCTCCCCGCCCACCCTTCAGCCTCATCGTAGGATGTCAAAGAGAATGGTGTGCAACTTACAAACTGGACAGGATGCCAAGGAGGACCCTAGAAAAGAAAGTGGAGAGAGGCTCAGGTCGCTATCAGCAGAAGGCTTGCTGGGCCAAAAGCCTGTGGGCATGTGCAGTGTGATTCCCTCTGAGTTGGAACACTTCCTTTTAGAGGGTGAAGGCTACTGGAACTCAGGAAGAGTCACCAGACCCCTCCCCAGGGTTAGATAAAGAGTTGCAAAGACTGGGGTGTATATTGGGGATGGGGCAGACTCTCCTGCCAGCCAAGCTGCTCGAAAGCTGGGTAGGGAGCTCCAGTGACAAAGCTTTCAGAAGCCATCACCCATGTCAGGGAGTTTCTCAGTGACACAGCTGTCTTTGAACCGCTGATGTCTTCCCTAAGTCCCCAGTAAGTTTACATAACGTATAAGCACACTAAGGTAGACCTGGGTGGACACATTTCTCTGCCCTGTCGACGTCCTATCTAAGGTGGACAGGAAAAGTCACACAACAGATCCCATCTGGGCCTGCTCTATGCTCTCTACAAGTCTGTAGGCCCACAGGAAGCACACGTGTGGCTTTGGATCAGGGCATATTATGCCATCAAAATCTTCACTCAGAAGTTAAGAGCACTTGCTTACAGGGAACCTGGATTTGGTTTCCTGCACTCATAGCCATCTATAACTCCAGTTCTAGGGAATCTAAGCCCTTCTTCTGACCTCTAAAGGCACCAGGCATGCTTGCAGTGCACTTATATGTTATGTAAGCTAAACATTCACACACATAAAATAAAAAAGTAAATCTTTAAAAACAACCCTGGTCTCACTGAGAGGAACCTGCCCTGGGAATCCAAAACGCCCAGCATGCAGTTACCTACCGGTGGACCCGGCCGCCCCCTCGGACCAGGAGGACCCTGTGGAAGAAAGAGGAGACAAGTCAGCTCTGGAGAATCCCTTACACAGGCTGTCTTCTGTCTTACCCAGGCACAGGGACAGGAGGATACAAAGGGGAGGGATATGATCCAGAGAGAGGGAGGGAGGGATGGAGAGGAAGAGAGAGAGAGAGAGAGAGAGAGAGAGAGAGAGAGAGAGAGAGAGAGAGAGCACTTAAGAATGTCACTGTGGAAAGGAGATCCTGAGAGTCCCCATCCCTGTCACCAGCCCCAAGTGCTCACGCCCAACCTACTCACCTTTGGGCCTTGCAGTCCCTGGAGACAGAATTGAGGAGAGAGACAGTTAGGAGAGGTGGGCTGAGCCATGGTTCACCTCCCATTGCCCCATAGAACTGCCTTCCAGGCTGTCCACTCACCCAGTCCCCTCGGCTGCCTCTGTCACCCTTGGGACCCTGCAACAAACCATATTAATGAGTTAGGACTCAGAAGGAAGTCCCATTTCCCATATGGGGAAACTGAGGCTCAATTAGCTCTGGGTCATGAAACACTTGAACCTTGAACCTCCAATACAGGAGACCCTGTAGCCTCCCCCTCGAACATACCGGGAGTCCAGAAGGTCCTAGCATTCCAGGGGGCCCAATGATACCTTCCTTTCCCTAAAGGAGAGAGAGGCTATGAGTCCTCGATCTGGGCCTAGGGAACAGAGTGACAGAGGAGGGTGGCAGCTGAGTGTCCCATGGCATGAAAGGGACACCCCTTCAAGCAGAGCTGGGCCATGCATGTCCTGAGCATGCCATCATGCTGGGGTGGGTCACAAGAGTCGGGAAGGAAAGGACTGGTGCACTAGCAGGGGGTATGTAGTCTGCTAGCAAGGACATCATGAGCAAAAGCATGAAGCTGGCAACAACTGCATGGAGAGGAGGCTCTAAGAGTGAAGGAGCAGAAAAACGTATGTGTTCAACCAGCTGATGGCCAGCCTGGGGCCTGGGTGTCTACCAAGAAGAGACAGGGAGGAAGGAGACCTACCATCAAGCCAGGAGGCCCCCGAGGGCCTTGGATGCCTTTGAAGCCAATGTCTCCAGGGGGGCCCTGTGAAAGGCAGAAAAGGGCTGTGCCTAGGGCAGCCACTGGGGAGTACCTAGGAGTCTTCTTACCCCTGAGTTCTGGCCGGCCTGTGTCCTCTTTATTTTATCTGAGAGGCCCCAGGAAGAATAGTAAAGGCTCCTGGTTCTTAGACAGGCACAAGCTGTCTTAGGGTGCTATGTGGTGTATGCCTCAGGTCTTAATTTTTACAATAATCTTTGGCTGTTGTGCTTTCCTGTTCACAGAATGGGAAAGCAAGGCTTGTATCAAGTCATGTGTCTGAGGCACAGAGCTACTGGGCTGGGCACACTTCCAGCTGGGTTCTGACCCACACATTGAGGCCTATGTGAAGACTCATGGAGTGAATCCACAAATAGATGAGTGGCAATAGACACAGTGGGATGGAACTCTGTACCTTGGGTCCAAAGAGGCCAGCTACTCCTGGGAAGCCCATCTCACCAGAGTCACCCTGTAGAGAAAGCAGGACAAGATGGTATGAGTGGAGCCTGGACAAGGATACTGCCAGTCATCTATGCCAGATGCTAGTCAGTCCAGGAGTGGAGTGGACAGGCACCTGTGCCCTATCTGAGGAGCAGGCAGAACCTAGTTCACAGTCCCACAGTGATGCTCTATACTCAGGAGCTCCTGTTCCAGGTCCTTATGGAGAGGACTAACAGACCCACAGATGTTTTCTGCCCACCCAAACAGCTCTATTAAGCAGTCTTCCAACAGAAACCCTCCACTGGTGGCTGCTTAGAAAACTCATTTCATATAACACATTTTTACTCCTTCCTTTTTGACATGAACCCTTTTATTTATTTTTCTTGCCTTATGGCACTGACTGGGTCTGTGGTACCACTTTGGAAGAAGCAGTGATTGGTTTCTGCTCTTTGGAAGAAAGCATCCAGCCAACCACCACTATGCACATTAACTGTAGGATTTGCTTAGATATCATGTATCAAGTTGAGGAAGTTCCCTTCCATACCTAGTTTACTGAGTGTTTTCTCCCTCCCCAATCAGAAATGAAGTTACTTTCTGTAGGGAAAAATGTTTTCCCTACACCTACAGAGACAGTTAAGTGGCTTTTCTTTTTCAGTTGGATGATGTAGTTTAGTATGAATTTCACTGACTTATTTTCAAATGTCACCCCAGTCTTGCCTCCCAGTGGTCAGCCTCACTTGGCCTGGGTGCACTACCTTTTTATTCAGTCTTAACTTCCATTTTGATAACACTTGATTGAAAATCTCTCTATGAGCTACACTGGTCTGTTGTGTTCTTTTCTTAAATATCTTTGACTGACTTTACGATCGGATTAATAACGACTGAGTGTTGCTCTGGCTTCTGGAGGTTTCTGAAGAGTCGGTACTATTGCTTCCTCGAGTGTCCAATAGAACCACCAGGTGAACCACCTGCATCCAGAGTTTTCTTGGTGAGAAGCTCTCTGCACTGCAGGCTCACACTCTTTCAAAGATACCAGGCAGGCAGGGTATCTCTTTCAAATGAGCTTTGATAGATTGGCCTTTGAAGGAATTTGCCCATTTCATCTAGGTTCTTCAGTCTCTTGGCATGAAGTTATTTATAATACTCCCAGGGCTGCACTTTTGTCATCTCTGATGTCTGTAGTGACAGATACCATCTCTCATTCTGACATTAGTTATATATACATACATATGTACACACTCTACTTTTTTGGTCTTGAGAAGTCTGGCTAGACATATATGAATTTTATTGATCTCAAAAACCCAATTTTCTCTTTATGATCCTCATCATTTCCTTTCTACCACTTGCATTGTTTCTATTTTTCTTCGATTCTTAGGATGGGCTCTGATGCCACCATTGATTTAAGTTGCTACCAATACTCCAGTGAATTCTGGGCAGTATTCACCAATTTTGATGCAGTGTGTTCTTATTTCACTTGATTCAAAATGCTAATTTACCTTTCTGATTTCTTTTTTGACTCATTTAGGTGTCTACTTAGTTTCTAGCTTGTTAGGGCATGGGGAGACAGTGTTGTACAGAAAGAACACTGTTCCTGAAGCCCACAGTGCCAACTTCTACCCATGTCCCTGGTTCTCATGTTGAATGGCCCACAGATTTCTTCTTCTAGCCCCCACAACACCTCCTTCCTGCACAGGAGGAGAATGCCATCCAGAACTCAGAGAGTGGGTTCTCACTTTGGCATCAATCTCACAAGTAGCTTCTAGGCCTGTGTGTACATGTATGAACATGAGTGTTGGTGTGTGTGCATGTAAGTGTATGTACCTTTTGCACATATCTATGTGGGTGTGTGTGTACATGTGTATGTGTGTGTACTTGTGGCTCTAGGCATGTGGTTGTATGGTCATATATATGCCTTGGGACCCACTCACCGGTTGGCCTTTGGATCCTGGCTCCCCCTGGTTTCCCGGAAGTCCTGTTCCACCTTCTGTCCCTCGCTTTCCAGGGGAACCCAGTTGCCCAGGTAACCCACTTTCACCCTTAAAGAAACACAAAATCACCTGTCAAGAGGATACATGGTCCCAAGACCAGTAGAGGAGGAGTCTAAGAGCAGGATAGCAGTGATTTCACAAGTTCTCCGGATGGCAGAGGGTAGAGGGAGGCACAAGGATGGGGTGGGACAAGTTCACCCCCCAAGCAGAAGCTTCCCTCATGACTCTGGCTTTCTCTTTGCTGTCCATCAAGTCTCTCTCTTTACTGTCGTGTCCTTCCCCTGCCCCTGCCCCCATAACAAGGCATGTAGGCTTCATCTCCAAACTTGTCCCCACTCGTACCTCTTTGGCTAAATACAGAGAGTCCTAACCTTCCCCCAAGAACTTAGGGAAGGCAAACACCATGTCTGGGTCCTTCATTTACGTATGGCCTTTAGGGTGTGGCCCTAAGCTAGACACAGAAGCAGCTAGAGGACTCTTTCTAAGGAGGCTACAGAGAATCCCAGAGGTAAGCAACCTGTTTTCTCAAAGACCCACCAGAGGGCGCCTGTGTACAACTCAACTAATGGGGAAGGTTTGTATGATTCAGTAGGGGGCAGTATTTATAATCACTTGGATAAACTAACTTTAAACTTGGGTCAATATGAGGGCCGGGGGCCCCCCCAAAAAAAGTCCACAACAAGGGTTCCATGTTCACGTGGGCCCGAGGACACGGATACTCTAAGAGTCAGTATCATTACAGTCAGGACTAGGGCAGAAAAGATAGATTAATAAGAGCTGACCTTGAATCCTGGAGGCCCCTGTGCTCCAGGTAAACCAGCCACACCTGGGTTTCCTCTTCTCCCAGCAGGGCCTATGGGGCCAGGGGTGCCATCATCTCCCTGCTGTCCCTGTAAAGAAAACAGATGGGCAGAAGTTTGATCCAGTGAGTTGTAGAAGGAGGAAGGAGGTCACACTTGCCAAGGGGTAGGATGATATGACCCAGCTACATAGATACTAGCATCAAGGAGAGATGGTGATAAGAATCGCAAAGGATGAAAGGCTGTCTACTGGTATCCCACCCAGTTTTCCAACTGATTATTCAGGCCCATGGCTTGTGTCTCATGACCTTTGTGTAGCCTGTCGAAGTCCCTAACACCAGTTGTTACCTACTGTTCTGCCTACCTGATATCCTGGTCGGCCATCCCTGCCAGGAGTCCCATCAGGTCCATCCATGCCCTCAGGGCCCTGTCTCCCTACCACGCCTCTGGGCCCTGGCAGCCCCTGCAGTCCCTGGAGGGACAGAAGAAGCTGGTCAAACCTTCTCAGAAGGACATAGAAACTGGTGGTAACAGAGGAGCTGTGGCCACTCACCTGAGTCCCCCTCCGGCCTGATGCGCCAGTCTTGCCAGGCTTTCCCTTTGGGCCCTGAGAAAGCAGAAACAAGGGCTAGATATTAGCAGGGTCTGGGAGCCCTGGAAGGAGACACTGAAAGGAGGATAATAAGTCCTGTGAATGAGTGTGATCTACCAGAGAGCCACGTGCCTGGAAACCCAGGCCTGTGGCCACCCCTAGAAACCACCCAGGGCTATCCACACTGCTCTGGGCCCTGACTTCCTTCTTTGGCTCCCATGCTGCCAAGACCATTCATAGGCACCAAAGTTGTGTTCAGACCTGGAGCCTAGG